CTGAAATGTCATTATCATAATTTTTTAACACATTGGCTTGTTGTCGGTTATCTGACAGGTGCAATTAGAGAAATTAAGATAAAAATATCAAATTAATGCGATTTTGCCCTCCAAAATAATATCATTTTTTAATTTTTTTTAATGTATCATCTTGTACAGTTTTGAGTTTTTGATAATAAATGTTGTTACAGTTATTTGAAACTAATTGTAAGATCGAAAGTATAGAATATATTATGATAATAAATGGATACGGATATATTATTATATTAAAGTTTATTGCTAACATATAAGGCTGCAAAGGCAACAAGCAGCAAACTGATAAATTACATTGTACGAAGGAAGAAATTGGAGACCCCAAGGGAGCCATTTTCCAATTCCATAGAAGTCCCTGATGTGAAAAAGGGGATTTTCTCTTTCGGAAATGGAATATTAAGCCCAACTTGACTCCCAGTCAATGCTCAAATACTATTCACGAAGTCTTTCTTATTTCCATCTAGGATATCTTCCTTTATTAGTATGTTTTTAACATATAATAATAAAAAATTACTCTTTATTAAATATTGGTTCGATTACTTATTTAATAAATTAACGAAGTCAAGTTTAACCTGAACGAAAGGTAATTCTGAAGTGAAATTTCCTCATATTTGAACGGCATTTAATAGAAGAGTAAAAGTTTTCAAGTACAAATTATTCCTGGAAACAATTTCGAAGTTAGAAAACAAATTTTTGAAAATGAAAGTAGAAAAATATATGTACAAAAATTGTTGCAAAGTGAAGATTTTAGAAAAAAGTTAAAGTCGTCCAAAATAAGGGATATTAATGAAAAAACAATTATGAATAATAATTTCTAAAAACTGATACTACTTAACAAATTGTTTCAACAGATAATTTTACAATTATTTTCAATCTTGATTATTAAAAATGTATAATGCTTGTCTAATTATAGAATTGTCGTTCTAGAATTATTTAAAAACCAATTTATCATATTTTCTTGAGAAAAAAATCCGTTGTGACCACTCACACGACTTTCCTACCAATTTCAGAAAAGTTTTTATATGTTTACATACGTCCATCAAGAAATAAAAAAAAATTGAATTCGATGTATTTTCCTGAAAATTGAACAAAGAAAAGATTTGAGTACGATTTATTTGATAAAATGAAGCAATGTAAACCGGCTTAAGGTAGATCAGTGTAAACATTTCAATACCCTCTAATATTGCTGAACAACAACTTTTTGCCATAGCCTAATTTTGTCAAACAATAATTTCTGTTAAAAGTAAAGGAAATAGTGAAGCTCGTGTGATGCGGGCAACAGATTTTCTTACTTTCACTTAGATATATTTTTTTTCTCATTCACTAATCAGTTTCAAAGAAATATATCTCTTATCCAGATATTTTTTTTTAATTTCCTTGAAAATTGAAACGATAGACCATAAAAAGAAATTTAAAGGGAACTTATTCAACTAAGTGGAAATATTTAGGGATAAATTGGAAGCAACTGTAGGCAGCACGCAAGAGATTCAATCTGCCGACCAGATGATAATCAGATTTATAGATCACCACCAGAATTCACGGTCACACACGCTTAGTTTAATACAAAGAACCTTTTTAGAAAATAGAGCAGTACTATTTCGGTACTCTCTGGTGGACACGTAAGCTTTTGGCAACAGCTATAATCGAAATGCTAATTTCAATTTGTACTTGTACCTACTTATTTAAAGGTTCATTTCACATCGTGTTTTCTACTCCTATAAAAAACGAGTTATAATTATAACTGTTTAATTAACTGCGTTATGATGAGTGTTTATTTAAACAAATAAATAAGTTTGCCAAACTAGAAATTTTCCATCTGCAAAGTGTTGCAATAAGCAAATCTATGAACATTACATTTATGTAGGGGTTATGCTAGTAAATCTCTTGGCCACCGTTTTAAAAGTCGTCGGGGTGCGTTGTACGGGTTCGTGGTAGAGATAAGTGCAATATATTCATATTGTAATTCAGTCTCTGTTGGAAATTTTTATAGTATTGTGTAGCAGCATCTCGAAATGTTTGGATGTCCATTTCTTTGTGTAGCAAATCATTTGTGACATAAAACGGTGCGTCTGCTATTTTTCTCAAAACCTTTCATTAAAATGTTTGAATTTTAAGGATGTTTAAAGTTTTCGCAGTGCCCCAAAGTTCTATCCCGTCAGTCATAAGCGGATCTACGGGGGGAGGGAGGAGGAGAAGAGGGGAGCTTTCGGGCCATAGCCCCCCTCCCAAAATAGTAAAATATAACCATATTTTAAAGAAAAAAATATTAAAAACTATCTCTTAAAGCATTCTTGTTCGTGTAATCACATTTAATAGAACTTAAAGAACCACTTAAACACCATTTCATATAGGTAGTTAATTTCTTTATTTTTTTTAAAATTAATTATTGTTATATATATATATATGAAAAAAAAATCTTATGGTGTGAAGCCCCCGCCCAAAATTAAATCCTGGATCCGCTAGTGCCGTAAGTCGAATCAGGTTTTATAATTAATTTGTAGATGCCAAGTTTGTTAGTTAAAGATGATTTGGAGCATCTGTCAAGTAACATGAACAAGAATCCATATCGTTTTTTCATTTGTTTTCTGTTCAGTGTAGATACGAAAAGGGATAAATCTGATTAAATTGCAACTTTTATAAATTAATATATTTAACACTATATTCCAGATATTCAGTTATTATTTGTTAGTTCTCACAATATCTGGACATTAAAATATTACGATTCATATAATAACGATTTTTTTTTCTTCTGTTGGCATTACAATCCTTGTAGATCTTTTTCCGCCTAACCCACCCTAATCCATGACTGTGTTTTAACAATTTTGGAAATATAATTGTATCATTTAAGCTACAAACAACTATATTATTGAAGGAAGTTAGTCGACTATTCTACATATCGTAGGTGGTAAATAGTCAGAACGCAGTAATTTTTAAGATTTTTATTAGTGTCAACGTTTCAACCCAAACATGTGGGTCATCATCAGGGCTTGTTTCGAGCACTGAAAGCATTCAAGTACTCAGATTGTGCACCTAATAATAATAATATTGTAGTAAAAATTATTTAAAGTATAAGTTTTGAAGGTTTATTCTTATTCTATTTCCTCTGATAGGCTGGAAAACCTTCCTAATAAAAAAAAATCATTAATAAATAATAATAATAATAAATGAAAATTACTTTTATATCGTTGTATAAATCATATATCTACAAATATTTTAATTATCTAGAATTTTTTCTGACATTACCTGTAAAACCTGATGGTCAGGTAATTTCATAAAAAGGTTTTTATCGACAATGTCAAACAGGCATTTTTTTTTCTTATTGGTAAACCGTTTCTCCATTATATTATCTTAATCCATGAAAAAAATATTATATGAATACTAAAATATACCTTAAAACGAAGATCGTGTTTTCTTTTCTATGAAAGAGTTGACCTTTTGGAAGAGATTGGTACTAAGGACTTGAGTCCGTTGGATCCTTAGAAGATGAACAGCTTAGCCGTTGAAAGCAAAAGTAAAAACTCTGCCGTGGTTGGGCTTAGGCCCTGTCCTCCATTTTCAGAACAACTCACATTAATCCCCAACATGGAAAGGAAACCTTAAAAGTATCGGGTTAAAGAGGAAAATGACGAGATGAATTATTCATCCTAAAAACTTTGATATTTTGTCTCTTTTATATCTAAAAAAAAATAATTTTTACTGTTTTAAAAAAAGTTCTTAATTCGTACACAAATGTGAATATTGATACACCTATATCTCAAAAACCATTTTCAATTTGGCCTAAAAAGTCTTTACTTTCATTTCTGTGGATATTGTACACAAAAAAATAAAAAATAAAAAATCAAACATCAAAACCTTACAATAACTTTCTCCGTGCGTTTACGAAGTTACAAACACTTTATAGGACCCTACGCTGTGTTAAAATCGAGAGTGCTAAATATTTAACACATATTTCGTAAATAATTTACTCGACTTTACATATTTAAAAGGTTTAAAATACTTAACATTAGTTGCATGAGTACCCCTATTATCTGAAAGATTGATTAACAGCGATGGGTCGGTTCTTTGTCTTACAACATATTAGAAGAAACTAATTTTTTATTTTTATTATTTCTGTATTAAAGTAATACATTTAGTAAATTTGAACATATGGGTATAATGATGTGAAAACATTCGCTGAGTAACTACCCAATGCTAGCACTCTAATGATATGTCTACATTAGGAGATCACGGGGCCATCTTCTTTTCAGAAATGGTTATCAGGAATTGAAGAGGAAGCAATGTTAGAAACGAGTGGGTTAGGATGATTCTGAAGTTCATTATGAAAGGATAGGTATCTAGATTGGGCCATATCTGAGACATAAGAAACATCAAGGTCATTTTATTTGTAACAAAGTAGGGAGCATTGAGTATTTTACGAAGGATGTTGGATTGTAAGGATTGGATACGAGAGGAATTCGATGGTGTAGTGGAGTCCCATAGCTTAAATCCGTAAGTCCAAATAGGCCTTATTATAGTCATGTATATGAGTCTTTTGTAATTAATTGGAAGTTAAGAGCGTTTATCTAGTAAGTGCTAAATTAATCGGAAACGTCTAGCGGTTTCTTGTCGAGAAACTAATTTAAAAAAAAAAAGACATTCTATACATGAAAGAAATTAAATTTTAAAAATTAATCCCTTTCTTTTGAGATATTTTGTTTTGAGCTGACTTGAAAATCGTTAACGTCATACTTCTTCATTCAGATTTTGAACGTACAACCCTTTCAACTTTCTTCATACAACATGTAACAAGGTATTTGTTGACAGTGCCGTTGATGCGTAAAAAATCACTGACGTATCTTACATTTCAGATGATTCAGCTCCGTATCTTTCTTGTGGTGCATTCGCTTGCAATCAGTTTCTTTTCATCTGTTGAATAGACTCCAAATGATGAGCCCTTCCTATCAAAACATTCTCGCTGTTCCGTCAGGATGGGTCTTGGATCTTCACTAACTCATTTGGTTCCTCAAGTGCCCAGGGTGTCTAAGCAACGCAATCTTGTATACTTTATTATAGTCAATAAGAAAATAGAAAGTATTTCCAATGTCCGTAAATATTATTCGAGACTTCGACTCCATAGAGATATATGTTTACACACATAATGATGTGTCAGACTGTATGAATGTTAAGAAGGTGTCGTAAGTCGTTCATTGTCTAGTCATAGCTTGAGGCGAAGTTTTGTTAAAAGTAAAAGTAATACTTTCTTTGCTGTCGCGTTAGTTATTTGTCGCTTCGAGACAGCTTTTAAATTTATGAATGATTTATGTAGATTAGCATTCTCATAATTATTCTTAAGCTTCGTTTACAATATGGCGGTTACCAAATATATTTACCAATTTATATGCCCGACGGTACGCATAAATATATCAAAATTTACTGTTGTGACAGTACTGCGCATGTTAGGTTTTGCATGATAGTTAACAATAAGTAAACTGTCACACCTTGCCTATCCTAATCAACTGTAATGACGATTATGCAGGAATACTTTGTTGTCATATATTCTTGTTTTATGTAAGTTTTCTTTATTTATTTTTCCACTGTCAATAAAGGAATGGTATATAAGTGTATATAATCCAATACTTTCAGTATTATCATTATTGTGAAACTTTGTACAAAAAACATGAAAGATTATTTTGTACGTATGTGTAAATTCTTAACATAAAATTTATTCTTTACAGTCTTTTAACGTTATTCAATTCTTGGATGAGGAATGTAAATTGTATAAATTAATTTTTTTATAAATGCCTCTGAACTCATTGATGAGTATCGAAAATTCACTAGGTAGTTCCTAAACTCATCAATGGATCCATAAATGTTATTCAGTGCGTTTCTTTATTCATTGATTGAATCACCGATGGTCCAGCGGTTGCATTGGGACCTATAGATCCACTGGTTATAACTTCATTATTTAGTTTACAATCTATGTATGTTTATTTATGTTTTGAAATTCGATAGTTTAGCGGGTAGTAATTTACTTATATGTTTTTTATTTGTTTTGTAATATTTCATGAGTGATAATCTGTGTATAAATAAAATCGCTGCTTGTTTCAATCCATTGATGATATTAGCGCTGAGTTTAGGAGCAATAACCATACGAATAGATTTTTTTTTTTAGTATTGTTATGTTCAGTCAGCTGTTCAATGTCTGCCATTATTACAAATGTCACCAGGTTTACTGCCAGCATCCAAACAAAAATACTGTCTTCCGGGCATTATTGACATTCTGATTGGTGGTGTAAGATTAAGATTGAAGCACTGATGGACGAGACTGACTGATTTCCAAAAATGCTGAAATCAAAGAACTATACGTGAGATATGTGAGATGACTAAACGCATCTTAAAACAAATAGTTTTACAAATAATTAGTTTATATTTTTATAAACTATCTTCAACTATTTTTTTAAATAATCAAGTGCACTGTAATTTTTTTAAAAAAGGCGAAAAACTATATAATTTACTTATAGAAAAAAAAATTAACTGTTGTGTATGATATTTATGAGTTATTTTTCATTGTTTCTATTCACTTCTTTTTTTCATTTTTTGAAAATATTTTCCTTTAATTTTTGTAAATAGTTAAACTTATGTTTATCTAACTTTTGTCAAAACGATTTTCAGGCACTAGGAAGTAATTATAAGAGCTCCTCTTTTCTCTTGATGTTTAATGCTATAATGGCCAAATAATTTTTTTTTCATGAAACACATTGATGGACAGTGCACCAAATCAGTTATCTCAATATCAACAGAGCTAAAACGATATCAGCCTGATTGACACGTGGCGTGTAAGGTTCATAATGATTAAAGCAATCTTTGTCAGTCTTGTGATTGTCATTCATGACTGATCATGTATTGTCCGCTTTACTTCCCCGCAGAAAGTGCTTGAGTGAGGGGAAGAACCCTATATTTTGAATCATTTTTGGGAAACCGATGTCTTAAAGAATTTTTTCTAATAAATAATTCACGTATCCAAAAATACTGATCTTGTTGGTGTTATAATGAATCTGACACGATTTCTTTCTCAGTTTATCTATCCACAAATTATATATTCATTTCTTATCTTTCATATATAATATAATGTTTATTTAGTAACCTGATTGAGGACTTTAGGCGCTATATTTGACTTGCCATAGGTGGATATAGACTTCCTAAAACCCTTGTGTTGTTCATCTGTCGGCCGGACAGTTAGTGCACTCGAACGATTTGTCATTCGGCCAACCCTAGACCACAGCGTGCCAAAGAGTCCTTTCACCCCAACAACAGGAAAAATGGATCTTCGTATCGCTAATGGACTTATATTATACGTTTTTATCTCTTCCTTTTTATTATTGTTTCTACTTTTCAACTCAAAGTTATTAATGAGACTAGTGTATGATTATTCGTTTTAAATGCGTTTCTGTTCAAAAGTGCGTATTTAATAGATCGACACACAGTCACATCTTCAACTGAACATTAATTGATTAATTTGTGTTATGTTTTCAACCTTGAAAAATAATGATAAATGTATTTACCTGAATAAGGAAAATGAAGCTATAAACACAATTTTCTTTTGTCAGTGTCATTCAGACTGTTTTATCAGTTTCTGCGTTTGTAATAGAAATATCTATATTTATTTCGGACAAAATTAGCAAGTAAGGCTCGTTACAGAAAATTTTATTTTTTACTCAATATGGACAATGATGCTTTTACCCAGGATTTTAGAAAGAAGTATTTCGATGGTATAGTGGAGCTCCGAAATTCAGTCTCCAAAGATCAGTCTCCAAAATGTCTAATTAGGCCTTATTATCTTCATGTAAATGAGCTTTTTTCTAATAAATTGAATGTTCACAGCGTTTGTCTTGTAAACGAGTTTGTAGTTAGAAACACGTCGAAGACTTTGTTTGAGGGTTCCATGGTAATGAATAAGCAGGTAGCCGATGTGTTTTCTGGGAAAAATTTGGTACAAAGAATTCTTAGAAGAGATAAACGAATGCTTTCGACGAAGAAATTAAATTAAGTACATATATGATATATCTTAACGTGGCCGCTTACATCAAGGGATGAGCAACGACTTAAGGTTTTTGAAAATAAAGTTTCGCGTAGAATATTCGGACCGAAGAAGGTTGAGTTAACCGGATAGTTGAGACGGTTACACAACGCCGAATTGCATGAACTGAATCCGGTTCATATAATTGAGGTGTTTACATAGCGGCGAATTAAATGAGCTTGTAATTGTTAGAGTTAGTAACGAAGGAATTCCTAAAAGATTAAGATTAGCTGTGCCGACTGGTAAAAGTCCTAATGGTAGGCCAAAGCGAAGGTGGCAAGATTGCGTTAAAGCCGATCTGAAAGGACTGGGTTTGAAAAGCGACCGGTGGAGGGAGGTTTATAATAAGCGAATGGTGGTGTCGACATCGAACCGTCGGGTTCGCTAAGCCTTTTATTATAATATATATATGGTATATAAATATCTGGGCTGTTATCATGCCATGAATTATTACAATCTTATCTCGCATACGAGACTGCTGGCGTTTGCTTTAGTCGCTCCAGTTTCGCTTCGCTTCTCGAGGTCGGCTTAGTGCCGTCTCCTACCGTCAGTTATTACCGATGGGCTTGTTCTCTGGCTTCGTGTTGGTGAGTGAGCGAAAGCTTGGAGCACTTACTGGTACCTGGAGACATTATATCGGTTGTACTCATCACTTTTTGAATACTATAAATGATTGAATTAGTTGATGAAACAAACCCGGAACAGCGTCGAATGGCTGTTGTTCTTTTGGCATAATAATTTTTCATAGTACACTAACCCTATTAAAGGTTATGATTTCGTTTATTTGCAAATGAGCAATGAATAAATCATTATAAAGAAAATCATATATATTTCACACTGATTTCTGAACAGTAATTCTCTTTAATGTTCATTATTTTTCTGTCTTGCAGACATGAAGAGGAGCGAGGCCTGCTGGAGGGGCACACGATGCGGTCCGTCCTCTCGATCCTCCTGCTGCTGGTCCACATGGGGGAGCTGGGGGAGGTGGTGGCCGGCGGCGGCTCCTGGGTCTGTGCCTGCGCCGCCTGGGCCGCCTGGTTCTCTGTCCAGTACTTCTACTTCACCATCGAGGTAGGTGTATACTTTGGTCAGTTACTGAAGGCCGAGCTGTGGAAGAGTGGGGGAAACAGCAAAAAAAAAAATGGAAGAGTAGATAGTCAGGGACGGGCTTTACTAACTGGCCCTGGGATACTTATTGTTATAACATACTTCATAGGCGGCTTTTCAATGCCTTCGTACCATTCATATAATCCGAGATACAGACCCCTTTTTTTTAAATTATTAACATTCGGCTGAAAGTTCATAAATAGCTTTCTTTATCTCATCATAATCTACGAATATTTTATATACGAAAATTTTCAGAATTGTGGCTTTTTCAATCCGAAGATCAGCGAACTCTGACTATTTAATCAGGTGATAAAAACTCATAAATACCCATTCGCTTTCCACTTGAATTGTAAAATAATTTAACATAAAAAAACGATAAAAAAAGGTGGCCTTTTAAAATATCGATCGGCTATTAACAATATATTGGCGGTACCTACATCCCCAGATTATGAAAATAATGAAGTTATATAGGCCGAACGGCCCAATATTTTTGTAGGCCACTTTTTTTTTTTTTTTTTAATCGATTTTGCGATCAAATTATCTTACAATCCAAGTGGAAAGAGAATGGGCATTTATGAGTTTTTAGCACCTGATTAAATAGACAAAGTTATCTGATCCTCAGATTGAAAACAATTCTGATAATTTTTGCAAATAAAATATTTCGTTGGTCATTAAAAACTCATGAATACTCATTTGCTTTCCAATTGAATTGTAAGATAATTTGATCACAAAATCTGGGAAAAAGGTGGCCAACAAAAATACTTGGGGGTTTTACGTGACCTCCCCTTCAGACATGGCAAAACAGCGAAAAAATATTTATTTTCGTAGATAAAAATGTATAGGTTACCATAAGATGAAGACATTAACGTCTTTTTAGGCGAACGTTAATAATTTCATAAAAAGGGGTCTGTATTACCGAATAATAGAGGAACATGGTGAAAAAAATCCATAACTTCGAGACCCTCTCTTCAAACTTAAGACGATAAACTCTCTTAGCTATTTTATTCTTTTATATTTTCTTTCTGCCAGAATTTCTTTAGGGTTGAGTAATCGTTTTTCAATATTTACGCACATGATATTTCATATTGTTCCAAAACAACATACTTAACAAGACTTCAAAATTCAATACATACCCTACAGATTCTACAATATGACCTAATAAAATTCCATGACTGGCTTTAAACGTTGGAAAATTTGAACACGGGCGAATCTAGGGGGGGAGGGAGGGAAGCTTTGGGGCTGAAGCCCTCCTCCCCAAAATGATAGAATATAACCATGGTTTATGGAAAAAAATATCACTTAAAGTATTATTGTTCGTGTAATTACATTTAAAAGGGCTTTAGGAATCAGTTAAACACCATTCCATATAGGTAGTTAGTTTCTTTCTTTTTTTCCAAAGTAATTGTCGTTATTTCTATGGAAAAAAAGCTTTCGGGCTGATGTCCTCTCTCCCCAAAATTAAATCCTGGATCCGCTAGTGAATTCGACCCAACTAAGACCAATCGCAACACATTAATTTTACTCAGGGATGGACAAATGCTACTCTGAGTACTGAGTATCAAGTATTTTACTAATACTGATATTTTTTAAACTGTTTATTATTGTAGGGATTATATTAACAGCGAATTTAAGAGAAAAATTTTATCCCCACGTTCAAAACTTTCCATTGTGAGTTTATTATTGCGGAGTAACGGGATAAATAGTTTAGCTATGGTTTATTCTACTGCGATTGGTGAAATGATGCTTTAAAACACTTATCGTAAAGCTTACAAAGCTCTACCAAGATAGATTAGACGTGATTGGACGTGCTTGACGCGATTTGTGTGTCTCTTACAGTGTTTATTATTATAAAATAATGGTATACATATTCCAGCTGTAATATATTCTAATGTAATTGTTATAATAAAGCTTTAGGAATATTTAGCATGTTATTAATAACTTTTCTCTAAATTTATATCTTTGACTAAATATACTTCTTAAAAACTTATTTATTGAGAAATATTAGAATCTCTCACGATTAAAGATATTTATAACAGTGTTCAGAGAGCACATTCAAATTCTATTTACAATAAATAAAAAAAATAATACAGAAATATAATAATAATATACTATTAAATATAAAAATTATTTCTCAATGCTACTAAGTTTCATATTTATACAATAGGTATTTATTTTTTGCTTCCACTTAGTTAATTTATCAAAAAGTTTATCTTACAAAAGGTGTCCTATTCTTCATCATTAATAAAGCCTTTTATGAAGCTATGTAATTAGCGGCGAAAGTAACTCAAGTTTAAAATGGCAAGGGTCATTCATGAGGTAAGTTTAGGTGTAAAATATAGACTTAGCTATACTTTGTTAAAGCTACAATAGCATCACCAAAATTACTATTAAAATTAATATATGTACCCATGCATAGATTTATAAAATTTAAATAATTAGGGTCAATAATAATGATTATTAACATAGCGAAAAAGTTTCTTAATATTATTTAATTTGTTTGCATTAGTCAAGATGACACCAGTTATTAACCATTCCACAGCACGAAAAATCTGATGAGTTTTAATAAGGGATCTTCCATAATCGTAAGATTTAATCAAATACATTTGCCATACTAACTTGCTATATAAATAGAATGAAAAATTAAAATACGTTAAAGAAGTTTTTAAAATATTTAGAATTCATGAAATTAGTCAAATATTACAACATAATTTGAGATAACGGTGACCATGCAGCGACATCAATATAAATATAAATAAACAGAATACCAATAATTTTATTTTATTTTTTAGCTGATTATTTTTTATAATTTTTAACAATATTATTTTTTTTCAACAATTGGTTTCGTATTTATAATCATTAGGATGACTTGTTAACTATTCAAAAATATTTCTTCATTTTTTTTTCTCTAACTATTTCTGTCCGTTTTAAATTCCAAATTATTTTTCGGATTAATTGTTGAAATAAAAGTAGATCAAGTCAATATAGGAGTGCTTAAATTATAAATATGGCTCATTATTATTCGACTTTACACGAATTATTAAATTTTAAATTAATTTCCGATCTACTGTTTATTTATTACTGTATGAATTCTTAATATTTTTTTTTATCTTAGGAATATGCTCCCAACCGATTTTCTTCTTCCATTTGCTCATATCTATGTAATTTTCTTAAATTACTAAAAACGAATAACGTACAAATTAATATTGAGTTTCTTCTATATTTATTATAGTGGAGATCCCTTGTAGTACTAGTAATAAAATTATCTTTAAAACTAACAGTAATCCTGCTCAATCTATTTGTACTAAAGGCTCCCGATAATCGAATATTAAAGAAGAAAATTTTAAATTATTTAGTCATGAAATATCTCCAAATAATTTTTGACATTAATTTAAAAGCTCAGAGCGTCATTGATGTCTTATTTGTGACAATAAAGAAAACCATGCCAACTTATGCAAGTTAGATCTGCCATGAAAGGGTTTATGAACCGGTGCAAAAGGTATAATTTCGAGTTTGGAATAATTATGAGGTTCTTCGAATAACCACAACTGCTCTACGTGATCATTTTTCGTGATGACTATTGTAGAAGTTACTTGCGTGAAGGAGATAATCGTGATCGAACCATTTACTCTTGCTTTAGAAACTTTTATTTTCAGTTCTTCTTCGTTCCAGTTCTGAAGACTGAGCAAACATTATTAAGGTTAAATAAATATATTAGAACATTTATTTTTCTGAAAATTAATCACTATGAAAAATTCAAATCCAAAAACAAAATAGCTAATATTAATGATTAAATGTGTTTCTCTCTTTTTTGTTTTAAAACTTTTAAATAGAATTATACTTCAGTTGATTTTAAAAAATATATATATATGTATATATATATATATATATATATATATATATATATATATATATATATAGATATATATATATCTAATTCTACGCCACTTAAATTGAAGCGTCCAACTTTTTAACAAATTTATTTTATTTTTTTTAATTGCTGAAAACAGACTATGACATACACCAAAGCCTAAAGAACATTTTTTACATTTAAAAGTCATAATAACACTGTCATCACCACTTACGCAGATGACACATGTTTGCTATCTGTTAATAACGATCTTTTAATTGCATCCCAAACTCTTCAATCACATATCACAAGCCTTGAAGAATGGTGTAAAAATTGGAGAATAAAAATAAATTCCAACAAATCCCATCAAATCATCTTTACCCTCCGTCGCAAACCTATGACGTCTTGTCCTACAGTAACTTTCAATAATACTCCACTTATTCCTGTTGAGCAAATCCGCTACTTAGGACTCAATTTGGATAAACGTCTTACTTGGAATCCCCATACTAGACTGAAACGACAAGAAACTGCTCGACGTTTCCGACTGCTACAACACTTACTAGACAAACGCTCCAAACTTTCTATTAATTACAAAAGACTTATCTACATAACTATAATAAGACCTATATGGACATACGGAGTTGAGCTTTGGGGCTCCACCAAACCATCGAATTCCTATCGTATCCAATCCTTACAATCCAAAATTCTCCGTAAAATCCTCAATGCTCCATACTTTGTCACAAATAAAACCATTCATAAAGACCTTAATGTACCATATGTCGCTGATTTAGCTCGAGCCAGATATCTATCCTTTCATGATAAACTTCAGTCCCATCCAAATCCGCTTGTTTCCACTCTTGCTTCTTTCTCGATTCCTGATAATCCTCCTAGGCGTCTGAAAAGGAGATGGCCTCGTGATCTTCTTACTTAAAATTATTTAGAGAGTGCTACCACTGGGTAGTAACTCTTCAAGCCTGTACATGCCATTATTTATATTTGCGCATATTTACTTGTTGTATTTGTATACAGTTGTAAATTCCATTAAATAAACAACAAAAAAAAAAGTCATAATTCAAATTTCAATAATCAAATATTTCGACTCCACAATAACCTCAATGAAT